ATAAATAAATAAATGAGTGGATAGATAGATAAGTAAATAAATAAATGGATAAATGGATAAATAAATAAATAAATAGATAAATGAATGAATAAGCGAGCACATGAATAAATAAATAAATAGATAAATCTTAAAAATGAAAATAGAAAGGTGAAATTTAAAAATTAGAAACATTTTTCATAAATTAATGTTAAATCAACAATTTATCACAGAATCCGAATTAAAGTACAAAAACTAACATTTAGATAGTAAAACATTTCAGTGTTCTGAGTAACACACTGGCGGTCTCCAATAAACAGTAGGTCATTACTCAATGTTGCAACGTACTGTGTCAAGGACGATGTCTACACGTGTGTTGGTGTGAGCTCTTGGACATACGGAGTCACTTACAGGCACAGACCAGAAGGGGTAGAAGAATAAAGTAATAAGGACTCACTGCTTTAGATAGCATGACAGAAACTGTGAATGGACAAAAAGTATTCAACCCACTGTTCATGTGTTACCAGAAAAGACCATTATAACTTTCAACAAATCCCGCCATCTGCTAGGTCAAAAGTATTCCAAAATAAGTAACTGAGCTATAAATGAGTTTCAGAAAATTGGACTGAGAATATTAACAGATTTTACTTAGGAAATACACATATTCTTAGAAGGCCTATGTATTGAAAACTAAAGTAAATAAGACTCTGAATATATATATATATATATCTCCAATTTATACCAAATGGGTATAAATTGAAGCATATTAAATAACATTTTAAACAAACCTCTCAAACCTGGCTGTACTGTACATTATATACTTGGTAATGTAAAGATAGTTATGAATACTCTAGAAAGCACCACCAATAAAATAGCTGAGTGAAGACACATCTTATTCTTACAACAGTCATGCCATTTATTTCTCTTCTTAAAAGATTTATTCATTATTTTATTTTATGTGTATGACTTTTGCCTACATATCTATATATGTATGTATTAATGTATGTATTCACGCAAGCATGCATATATGTGTGTGTGTGTGTGTGTGTGTACTACATGTGTTCCTGGTGTCCATGAAGGCCGGAAGAGGCACCAGGTCCCCTGGAAATGGAGTTACAGATGGCCCTGAGCCCCCCATGTGGTTGCTGGAAACCCAAGCTGGGCCTCTGGAAGAGGAACCAGTCAGTCCTCCTAACTGCTGAGCAATTTTTCCAGCCCTCCCTGTATTCATTATTTATTTCTCATTGTTTTCTTTTCTTTCCTTCTTTCATTTTTTTTTTTTTTTGATAAGCTTACCTTGTATATGCTAACAAAAGATCCAAGAAAAGCCCCCAGTTGGAAGTTTTCTTTGTTGTAGAAGAGAGAGAGGAGCCGGGATGGTTCTGTAAACAGATGCCTAAATGCAGAGGGTATCCGTAGACAGCACTGGATCAAGTAGCCCACGCTGAACATTCTGATGAAGCCCTAGAAACAATTCCATCTCTTGACATTCACAATAACCACAATGGGATTTAAAAACACGGCATGGAAATGCCAAAAAAAAAAAAAAAAAAGCAAAAAACAAAACAAAAAAAAACAAACAGTGAACAAAAGCAACTTCTTTGGGAAATTTTAATAGAAAACATGGATTTTTTTTTTTAAATAAAAGATAGTTTCATTGTTTGTTTTGAGTTCTGCTATATTTTTTAAATAACCAAGTTAAAGGAATTTCCTAGGAGATAGCAACTCTATCTATGTCTTTATTTCTATAATTTACTGTATGAAGCTAAAACAAGGAATGGTTGATCTGCAGTGAACCAAACAAGGGGAGAAAGAAAGACCTGGAAGGGACAGGTACTCCACAAGGAGAGCAACAGACCCAAAAAATGTAGACCATGGCAGCTTAGTCTCCAAGTGGGTTCCCTAGTAAGGAAAGTAAGGGGAACTGGAACTGTCTCTGACATGAACTCAGTGGCTGGCTCTTTGATCACCTCCCCCTGAGCGGGAAGCAGCCTTACCAGACCACAGAGGAAGACAATGCAGCCCACTCCTGATGAGGCCTGCTAGTCTAGGGTCAGATGGAAGGGGAGGAGGGTCTCCCCTATCATTGGACTGCGGGAGGGGCATGGGAGGAGAAGAGGGAGGGAGGATCTGATTGGGAGGGGACAAGGAGGGGGCTAGCTGGGATACAAAGTGAATAAACTGTAATTAATAAATAAATAATTAATTAATTTTTGAAAAAAGAAAACACTGAACACTGCCTTCCCATCCTTGTTGCTGCACCCATGGCAAGGGGGTAATAGCTGGGACCTTGGCCTGCTGGCTAAGTTTTTAAAAGTCAGGCTTGTATTTTTCAGATCACAATTTTGTTTTCTAGGAAAAGAAAAAAAAAAAACTGAATTGCTATGAGCAAGTATTGATTGATTTTTCCAAAGCCTAGTGAAAACATGGAAATTAAATAGGCCAGTCATTTGTGAATTCCCTTACTGGAACTGCCCAGCATTTGTTCAGTATTGAAAGAGTCCTTAACATTATGCTAGTGACTCAGGGGTGACAAGCAGGCTAATTTTTTCACCTGGTTTACAAAAGAGAAAATAAACAAATACATTTTCGAAAACAACTCATTTATACTTTCATGTATTCAGAAAATATATGCTGTCTGCCCATTATATAACAGGATTACATAGCTGTGGAGGACATGGCAGCCAAGACTAAGTTCTCTGTAGAGGTTTAGAAACTTATGTGTAAAGATAAAACAAATGAGTAAAGTAATATAACATAATTACAAATTACAATGTGTTTTAAGAAAATAATTAGCTACTATAGTAGCTTGTATTAGAATGGATAGTAAAGAAAAGCTACTGAAGATGTGACATTTAAGTAGATCCCAAAGAGAAGATGCTATTCTGAAAACATGTCACACGGTCTGGATAGAAAGCAGAGCCAGTAAGGAAGTGGGCAGGAAGAAGCTCCTAAGAAGAGCTGAGAGCAAAGCGAGAGGAGAAGAATGTGACTAATGTGACTATCTACTAGGGGTTGTAGCTTAACACAGTTTAGTTATGGCTTAGCCATAATGAGATACACCTTGTCAAAAACTTCAGTAGTTTAGTCTTTAATCCCAGTACTCGGGAAGCAGAGGCAGAGGCCAGCAGATCTCTGTGAGCTCAAAGTGTCAGGGCTACATAGAAAGACGATCCAATAACAAGCAAGGAGACTTCCAAGTATTTTCATATTTTCCTTTCCCATACATCTCCAAATAGTTTTACATATTTCATGAACTGCTAAGTCTTCTGGAACACGCTTCAAAGAATCACTAGGTTTATGACTGCTTGGCAATTCTCAGACTTTTTTTTTTTTTCCAGAAAATGTTCAGTATCACCTCCCCACACCCTGCCTGAATTCTTCCCTTGAATACACTTAGTAAGTTGTCAGAAAGAATTCTCTCTATGAGCCAGTAGATTCTGGTTTATTTGTTGTTGCCACTTTGAAAGTGAGGCAGGAAATCAAATCTGGACACCACACAAGGAAATGTATTCTACTGTGTTAACCCCAGACATGGCTCTGAGGATTCTGAGATGAGTA